GCAAATCCCTTGTGTTTTTGGACCCTGACCCCGCGGATCTGCTTGAGGGGTGCCGCTGAATTTAAACAATGCGGCAAATCCCTTGTGTTTTTGGTCTTTGGCCGCGCAGATCTGCGTGAGGGGTGCCGGGAAATTTCAGAAATGCGGCAAATCCCTTGTGTTTTTGGACCCTGACCCCGCCGATCTGCGTGAGGGGTGGCACCGAATTTACAACATGCGGCAAATCTTTTGTGTTTTTCCCGGAAAGGGCTTAAGCCCAGGGTTCTCTTTTAGTTTGTAAACTAGTCCCCCGGTGCCTGCTTGAAGGAGGCCGGCGAATTTTTCCCTGATACTAACGAGGTCGAAGGAGGCCGGCGAATTTTTTTCCTGATAAATACGAGCCGATAATTAAAATTTGAGGATGTCTCCGAGCGAAACCGCTTGTTTTTTGAGCGCCGCTGAAAAATTAATTTGAGGATGTCTCGAGCGAACGCTTGTTTTTGAGCCGCGATTAAATTTGGAGTGTCCGCGAGCGAACGCTAGCGGCCCCACCCAGCAGACCACACTCCAGGCACGACACACCCCGCACGACCTCACCACAGCACTACCCTCCGCCAGCACGCCCCCACCTCCATCATCGACCACCGCCCAGCTACGACCACACCCCACACGATCACACCCAACGACCACAACCCAGCACGACCCACCCAAGACGACCCCCCAAGCACACCACCACCCGAGCCAGGGTTATCTTTTGTTGTACACTAGTCCCCCTTGCCTGCTTGAAGAGGCCGGCGAATTTTCCCTGATAAATATTGTACGATTTCCTGGAATTTTTGGCAGGATGTCTCGAGCGAAATGCACGACCCCACCCTAGCACGACCATACCCCAGCACGACCACACCCCAGCACGACCAGACCCCAGCACGACCCCACCCCAGCACGACCCCACCCCAGCACGACCATACCCCAGCACGACCACTCCCCAGCACGACCCGACCCCAGCACGACCCTACCCCAGCAAGACCACACCCCAGCACGACCACACCCCAGCACGACCTCACCACAGCACGACCACACCCCAGCACGACCACGCCCCAGCACGACCACGCCCCAGCACGACCACGCCCCAGCACGACCACCTCCCAGCACGACCACACCCCCAGCACGACCACCCCCCAGCACGACCACGCCCCAGCACGACCACACCCCAGCACGACCACTCCCCAGCACGACCACACCCCAGCACGACCACACCCCAGCACGACCACACCCCAGCACGACCGATCGATAAATCACAAGTTGCGGAGCACCCCCGCACTAACCCCCCCAGCACGAACCCACCCCGCACGACCCCACCCCATCAAGACCACGCCCAGCATGACCAACACCCCAGCACACCACAAACCCAGCACGAAACATCCCCTCATCGACCCCCCCCAGCCTACCCCACCCTTATCACACCACACCCCAGCCGAACCTACCCCCAGCACGACCAGACCCCATCACGCCCCAGCCCAGCACTACCCCACCCACATCACGACCATACCCTCGCACGACCACACCCCAAGCCGACCCGACCCCATCACGACCTACCCGCAGACCACTACCTCCAGCACGACCACACCCCAGCCTACCACACCCATGCACTACCCCACCGCCCATGCACGACCACGCCCCAGCACGACCCCGCCCAGCACGACCCCCCATCCATCACTACCACCCTCCATCTACGACCACACCCCCATCACTACACCTCCCCATCACTACTCACGCCCCATCACGACCACACCCAAGCACGACCAGACCCCAGCACGACCCCACCCCAGCACGACCACACCCCAGCACGACCATACCCCAGCACGACCACACCCCAGCACGACCCGACCCCAGCACGACCCTACCCCAGCAAGACCACACCCCAGCACGACCACACCCCAGCACGACCTCACCACAGCACGACCACACCCCAGCACGACCACGCCCCAGCACGACCACGCCCCAGCACGACCACGCCCCAGCACAACCACCCCCCAGCACGACCACCCCCCCAGCACGACCACACCCCAGCACGACCACCCCCCAGCACGACCACACCCCATCACGACCACTCCCCAGCACGACCACACCGCCTTGGTTGAGTGGTTGCCTGTCGTCGTGGAATGTTTCGTGGGGTGTCTCGTGGAATGTTTCGCGGGGTGTCTCGTGGAATGTTTCGTGAGGTGTCTCGCGGAATGTTTCGTGAGGTGTCTCGTGGATGTTTCGTGAGGTGTCTCGTGGGATGTTTCGTGAGGTGTTGCCCCGTTGGGTATCGTGAAAACGTGCCCATGCTCCACATGTCTATATCCCTTTCCGGGTTCGTGGGTCCATCATGTTGGACCCTGACCCCACCGATCTGCTTGAGGGGTGCCGCCGAATTTTAGAAATGCGGCAAATCCTTTATGTTTTTGGACCCTGACCCCGCCGATCTGCGTGAGGGGTGTTAGGAAATTTCAGAAATGCGGCAAATCCCGTGTGTTTTTGGGTTTTTGGACCCTGACCCCGCCGATCTGCGTGAGGGGTGCCGCCGAATTTCAGAAATGAGGCAAATCCAAAGTGTTTTTGGACCCTGACCCCGCCGATCTGCATGAGGGGTGCCACCGAATTTCAGAAATGTGGCAAATCCCTTGTGTTTTTCCTGGAAAGGGCATGGGCCCAGGGTTCTCTTTTAGTTGGTTTACCCCTCTCGGTTTTTACTTGAAGGGGGCCGGCGGAATTCTTGTGCGATGAATTACGAGGTCGAAGGGGGCCGGCGGATTTCAATTGTGAGGACGGAGGCCATTTTTCGCCACCCCTCACGCAGATCGTGCTCTTGGATTTTTACTGCCTTTAAGGAAACCTCGATATTTCAGAGGTGAAGTTCACTTTTTTCCGACATCGACTTTAAACGATTAAAAACGAGGTAAACGCGTTCGCTCGATAAATAACGAGGTACCGCGGCCTCTGGAACTGCGCTGGGAACGGAGTTTTGGATTCTTGAAGTTGCATAAGTTCGGACATAGCAAAAATCCCTTGTGTTTTTGGGTTTTTGGACCCTGACCCCGCCGATCTGCGTGAGGGGTGCCGCCGAATTTCAGAAATGAGGCAAATCCAAAGTGTTTTTGGACCCTGACCCCGCCGATCTGCGTGAGGGGTGGCGCGGAATTCCAGAAATGTGGCAAATCCCATGTGTTTTCGGATCCTGACCCCGCCGATCTGCGTGAGGGGTGGCACGGAATTCCAGAAATGTGGCAAATCCCATGTGTTTTCGGATCCTGACCCCGCCGACCTGCGTGAGGAGTGGCACCGAATTTCAGAAATGTGGCAAGTCCCATGTGTTTTCGGACCTTGACTTCGCCCAGGAGGGCCCAGGAGGCTCCAGGAGAGCCCAGGAGAGCCCAGGAGGGCCCAGGAGAGCCCAGGAGGGCCCATGAGGACCCAGGAGGCTCCAAGAGGCACCAGGGGGCCCAAGGAGGGCCCAGGAGAAGCTCCAGGAGGCTCCAGGAGAGCCCAGGAGGGCCCAAGAGGTCCAAGGAAGACCCAGGAGGGCCCAGGAGCCCTTACGAGGGATCGTGGCCCTGGGAGCGCTGACGTAGCGTAATTTACGAGGGATCGTGGCCCTGGGAGCGCGGGTGTATTTGTTTTCAGAACTTGTTGAGGATGACTCAGAGAGGACAGCTGGTTGTGGGGCACGAAATGGTGGGGATGTCTCGAGCGGGGCCTCGTGGGGGGCTAGATTCAGGGATGTCTCGGCGAATGTTTTTTTCACGTCCCGCTCGCAGGATCCGAAGGATGTCTCGCGCGTGCGCGTCCGCGCGCAGGAATTTTGAAGAGTCTTCAACAAATTCGTTTATTTGGCGAGGATTTCTTTTGGATTTTTCGGATGTCTCGAGCGAAACGCTGTTTTTTCAGAATTTGTGAGGATGTCTCGAGCGGAACGCTGGTTTTGCAAAAAGTATTGGGGGGATGTCCTCGAGCGGGGGCCTCTTGGGTGCCGAATTCAGAGGATGTCTCAGCGAATGCTTGTTTTCACGTCCCGCTCGCAAGGATTTCATCGAGATTCCGTCACACTCGCTATTGGCACGTTCCGTGGGGCGTCCCTTGGCGAGTCCCCCTGGCACGTTGCGTGGCGCGTCCCCTGGCACATCCCGTGCACATCCATTGGCACGTTCCGTAGCGCGTCCCCTTGGCACGTCCCGCGGTGCGCCCCCATGGCACGTCCCCTGGCACGTCGCCTGGCGCGTCCCTTGGGACGTTTCGCGGCGCGTCCTCCTGGCATGCCCCCCTGTCAATTAGCTCTGGGGCAGCTACTATGTGTTCAGGCAGCTCGAGCTTACGATCCAGATCAGTTCGGTCAGGACTCGGATGCAAAGGAGGACTCGATCCACGAGGCTATAGAGCACAATCGCGCCATGGCACATCGCAATCCAGCACGGCGCAGCACAGATTCCGGCACGGTACATCAAGATCGATACACTCAGCATTGCAACTTGGCACGTTCCTTGGCACGTTCCGTGGGGCGCCCCTTGGCGAGTCCCCCTGGCACGTCGCGTGGCGCGTCCCCTGGCACATCCCGTGGCACATCCATTGGCACGTTCCGTAGCGCGTCCCCTTGGCACGTCCCGCGGTGCGACCCCATGGCACGTCCCCTGGCACGTCGCCTGGCGCATCCCTTGGGACGTTCGCAGCGCGTCCTCCTGGCATGTCCCCCTGTCCATTAGCTCTGGGGCAGCTACTATGTGTTCAGGCAGCTCGAGCTTAAGATCCAGATCAGTTCGGTCAGGACTCGGATGCAAAGGAGGACTCGATCCACGAGGCTATAGAGCACGATCGCGCCATGGCACATCGCAATTCAGCACGGCGCAGCACAGCACAACCCTCGGCACGGTACATCAAGATCGATACACTCAGCATTGCATTTGCCCGTCACCCAATCAGGTGTCTTTGAAAACGCTGCCATGTGTTACAGTTCTATATTACTTTCCGGGTTCGTGGATCGATCATGTTCGACCCTGACCCCGCCGATCTGCGTGAGGGGTGTTAATTTTTACCCCCCCAGGAATTCTGAGAACCCTCACGGGGGGTGCTAACCAGGGTCCTTTTCGGCTCCCCCCCCTCGCGCGGACAGTAACAATTTACAGTAGGAAGCAGAAAGCAGTATTGTAAGAATGGAAACTGGAAACTGGAACTGGTGCAGGGAGCAGCAAGCCTAATCCTCGCAGCCTGATGGCCCCGCAAGGGGGCCGGCGGATTCTACACAATAATTCGTCATTCTACACAATGGTTTCGTCAATGAGGCACCGTTCATCTCAGTGGATCCACCGTTGCGTCCATAACTCCGCTTGCAACGCTTGCGGCTTCTGCGGCCCGCCTGGAATATGCAGTGGCACCAGTCAGGGTGCCTCAATGACCGCGTCAACTGACAGCTTACGCGCGGGATTCGGCTCGAGTGGTGGGCCCCGGCGGCGCCCAGCCAGTTGCCGACGCGCGGCCGCCATCTCGACCTGGAGGCTCCGCTATTTCGAGGCGTCGCGGGGGCGGCGGGGGCGGGCTCGCCGACCAGGCCGTCCAGCATGCCGCCGCGCTTCGCCGCCGAGGCGGGGCTCGCCGCAGGCCCCCCCAGATGACTTGAGCCGACAGTGAGCAACATTCGAGAGGCGGAGTTTCAGGTAGAGAGTCACACGCTGGAGCTGTGATCCATTGCCTGTCTGAACGAACTTTCTCCTCTGATTCGAACTTGCTCCCCCGTCAGGACATTTTGCCACAATTTACGTGGACCGAAGTGATGGGCCTGTTTTCCACCACCACCACCACCATAAGTTGGAGGGGGGAACGAGGAGGAGGACGAGGAGGAGGAGGACGAGGAGGACAAGGAGGAGGAGGAGGAGGAGGAGGAGGAGGAGGAGGATGAGGAGGAGGAGGAGGAGTGGAGGTGGAGATTGGAGGAGGAGACCCCTTCCCCTCCAACTTATGGTGTTGGTGGTGGTGGAAAACAGGCCCATCATGAAGGACGTGCCGGGCCCCGGCGGGCCAGGGCCGCCGCATGCCGAGGCGGAGCCCGCGCGCCGCGCGCGCGGGCGAGGCAGCCGGCCCGTGGAGCGCGGGCAGCGGCCTCTCCGGAGGCACGGCCGCGGCCGCCCCGGCGCTGGAGGAGCAGAGGGCCCGGCTCCTCCCGGGGGTCGGAGGAGGAGGAGGAGGAGGAGGGGGAGGAGGAGAGAGGAGAGGAAGGAGGAGGAGGGGAGGGAGGAGGGAGGAGGAGGAGGGAGGGAGGAGGAGGAGGCGGGGGAGGAGGAGGAGGAGGGCACCCACACCGCTGCTCAGAGCTTCGCTCTCCCCTTGTCGGGCCTCCCGGGAGGCCCTCGTCGCCACCGCTGGCTTCGCCCCGAAGTCCTGGTCCGAGCGCGCCCCAGGAGAGGTCCGGGTGAGCAGCGGTATCGGTGCCTTTGGGTTCCCCCAGCTCCTGTAGCAGGATCACCGAACGCGTTCCACTACTCGCAAAGTGCCTACTCGCAAACGTCCGAAAACCACATGTCTTCCTCGATGTAATGGATCGTAAATCCCCCGCGGCGGATCCAGGCCACTTGCGAGTAGTTACTTTGCGAGTAGTGGACCGCAGGAGCAGCTGCTGGCCGAGATGCAGCAGCAGGCCCAGGAGACCAGGCGGGTCTCGCAGGGAGCAGGAGGCCGGCCTGTTTGATCTGGAGGTTCCGCAGGGTGACCTCGCGGGCAGCGTGCTGGCGCCGACTGAGGATGCCGCGCCCGCCACCCCCAGCGCTCCAGCCATCACCACGCTGATGATCGGCATCATTCCGATGGGCTGTTGCGCAGAGTGACCTGCTGGACCTCATCGACTGGACTGGCTTCGAGAACCGCTACTTCTGGCCCGACTGGTGATTGCCGGGGCCTGCTTTACTGTTGTGGCTCTGTGGGTTCGGGTCGGACCATTTCGGGCTGGTTCCGACCACGCCATCGTCCCCCCTCGACCCTTTTCGAAAGCTGCTCAGCAATGAGCTAGCTGATGAGTTGAGTCTGTCAGGCGCGCTGCCAGCCCAGACTTCAAATGCATTCTGACGTGTGTGGCTACCGCACGTTGACAGGATGCTTTTTGCGCTGTTTGGCAGGCGTCCGTTCCGTCTTCCGATCCATTTTCAAACGCGCGCCCGCCACTTGTGTTGGCGCTTCAATGTCCCTTCCTTCTTGTGCAGGCGCACCCATCATTGCTGTGACCCCCCCTGCATCACTGCCTTTGCGTGGTGCGCCCCTGACCCAGCGGCTGGCACGGGAAGTTCGTTTTGAACGAACCTGGCACACGTGTAGGCCGCCTACAAGTCGGATCCCGAGAGCAACCAACCTCGCGTATTTTGCGCCCGCCTCGGACTGCACCCAGGTTTCACGTGTTGAGCTATCCTAGGAAGCAGGTTACTCAACTTCAACTGTTTCTTTTAAGTTTTATCGCGAAGCACATGATTCTGCTCACATGCAGACAAGCTTCGACGCTGGGACCACTAAGGGACTACGCGCCTGTATTGCATTGAATCATCATATTCATCGCCATCCTTCGTCATCGAATCTGACTCGGAGTATGCGGCTGGCGTGGCGCAGCGGGCGAATCTGCAGCTTGTTCGGTCGCTGCCGTCATCTCTTTGATCATACCGCTTGCCATGTTGTCTTCATGAAAGTTGGGAGCCATACAGGGCAATTTCTGAGCGAGCGTACTGATCCCTTGGCCCCGTGTGGTGCCTTTGGAATCTTACGTCACCCTCTTGATGTTCATCGCTGGGCGAGCTCCTGGAGCTAATCTGTGGCGTCTTGGTCAGGAAGCCCCTAATCTCTTTCAGCATCATGCGTTTGCGAACTTCGCCACCCAAAGTTTCGCCCGCGAGTTTCCCGTGCGGTGGAACGGACCGCCTCTAATCAGAGTAATCGGAGCTGGATCCAGCGAGACCGTTCTCGAGGTCAGGGCATCGGCGTTGCAGGGGTATCGGGAGAACGCCAGGAAATGGCAGGCGAGCCAGTTGCGCCGCACTAAGAACCCTAAGCTCCACCCCTTCATCGCCCGTAGGCCGGCTGTTAGGGGAACGTGCGGCTGAGAATTTCACTGTGTTGGCGGCTCGGGATGAGAGGGGTTGTGGAGGAGCACGGAGAAGGAGGAGGTGAGGAGGAGGAGGAGGAGGAGGAGGAGGAGGAGGAGGAGGAGGAGGAGGAAGAGGAAGAAGAGGAGGAGGAGGATACCGCACAGCGCGCCGATTTCTCGCCCACAGCCCAATCTTCTTATTCTAAACAATGTTCTCGTCAACGAGCAGGAGGAGGAGGAGGAGGAGGAGGAGGAGGAGGAGGAAGAGGAGGAGGATGAGGATACCGCGCAGCGCGCGATGTGCTTTCGGGAGCCTCGCCTGTCGTACTGGGTGATCTCGAGGGTTGCCCATGGGAGCCTCGGCCACCAGCGTGAGTTTGCCATCTTCTCCTCCTCCTCCTCCTTCTCCTCCTCCTCCTCCTGCTCTCCTCCCTCGGTTAGAGCTCGTTTGCGGAGCCCCCTTCCTAGAGGAGGCATACCTCTACCATTGCCTCGTTTTCCCATTTTTCGGCCTCGTGGGCGGCCCTCGTCGCCACCGCTTGATTCGCCTCGAAATCGTGGCCAGAACGCACCCCGGGAGAGATCCGGGGAGTGGCGGTATCGGTGTGGGAAGTTGGCAATGCTGATCGAGAATACTTGTGTGAGGTTGCTTCGTCTCATGGCGCCAACATCGCAGAGCGGATTTCGTTTTGAAAACGATAGGATGGGCCCGGAGTGTCCTGGAGAATTTCTTTCCGGATTTCGAGGTGAACTTCGTGCGGATTTTTTTGGCCAGGAATGAAGACTGAATATCAGTCAGCGTTGATTCCAAATAGATTAGACGACTCAAATCAAGGAATCAGAGGATTCAAGCATGCTTGGAATCCGCAACTCAGCAAGCAAGCAAGCGTGCAAGCAATCGCGCAAGCAAGCAAGCAAGCAAGCAAGCAAGCAGGCATAGGCATAGGCATAGGCGTTGGCATAGGAGTTAGGGGTTAGGCATAGGCATAGGCATAGTCATAGCCATAGAAATTAGGGGGGCATAGGAATTAGGGGGGGGGGGAACGGACCAAATAGTAGGGTCTGAGCCAGGACTCCTATAGGGTAAGCTTGGAGAAAACATCCATGCGAAATTCAGTTCGATTTTCGCTCGCCGTTTCGGGGCTTTACATGGACAGAAATCCACGCGAAAATCAGCTGCAGCACGTCTACAAGGTCGGTGTCGCGTGCGCGATGATGACCGCGGGGGCTGCAGTTGAGTAGGGCCGAGGTTTTGAGAGCGCCTTCCTCTGCGGGACCACCAAAAAAGGGACGTCCAGGTGGTCTAACGCTTCGCCGGTTAAGCTGACGAAGATGTGCAGAGTCCAACCGTTTGCTTATGTCCAAACTTTTTGCTTGGCGCCGGGTGGGGTGCATCAATTTCAGCTTGACCGAACAGGATGATTGCGCCCTTTGACCTCCGTTTGGGGTGTTCTGCAGACCTGCCCCCCCGTCTTACTCAAGGCTGCAGTGGCCATTGCTGCCCGTCCCCGCGCGTTTCGCGCCATACGTCCCTTCCCGCCCCGCTGCTGCCGCCCCGGGAGCGCGAAGCCGACTGCGCCGCGCGGCTTTCCCGAGGCCTTGGTTTGGGGGCCTTTCGCCTGCAGGCCCCATTCTGCTCGCACGTCGCCCACACCTCCATCCTCTCCCATCCTTCCTTACCCCTCCTGCTCCTCCTGCTGCTCCTCCTCCTCCTCCTCCGCCGCCTCCTCCTCCTCCTCCTCCTCCTCCTCCTCCCCCACCTCCTCCTCCTCCTCCTCCTCCTCCTCCTCCTCCTCCTCCTCCTCTTCCTCCTTCTCCTCCTCCCCCTCTCCCTCCTCCTCCTCCTCCTCCTCCTCCTCCTCCTCCTCCTCCACTTCTCCTCTTCCCTTCTCCTCCTCCTCCTCCTCTTCTTCCTCCTCCACTTCTCCTCTTCCCCCCTCCTCCTCCTCCTCCTCCTCCTCCTCCTCCTCCTCCTCCTCCTTTTCCTCCCCCTCCTCCGCCTTCTCCTACTCCTCGTTCTTCTCCTCGTCCTCCTCCTCCCCCTGCTCCTCCTCCTCCTTCTCCTCCCCCTGCTCCTCATCCTCCTTCTCCTCCTTCCCCCCCCTCCTCCTCCTTCTCCTCCTCCTTCTCCTCCTCCTCCTCCACCTCCTCCTCCTCCTTCCTCCTTCTCCTTCTCCTTCTCCTCCTCCTCCCCCTCCTCCTCCTCCTCCTCCTCCTCCTCCTCCTCCTCCTCCTCCTCCTCCTCCTCCTCCTCCTCCTCCTCCTCCCCCTCCTCCTTCTCCTCCTCCTCCTCCTCGTCCTCCTCCTCCTCCATTCCTTTTCCTCATACATACCCTTTCCTTGTTGCACCCCCCCCGAGGCCAGTTTTTAGGGCGGGCCGGGCGTTTCGCCTGAGACGTTTTCACCATTTATGATTCTGAACCTTGAACAGTGGCAATAGTTTCGAAGTGTGGCTCTCGCTGCAGCGCCGCGCTCATTCGTCTTAAACATTTGCAAACATTTTTCGAATTGACGGCGGCTGGTTTTTTGAATTATCCCAGTGCGACCCTACCTAGGAGTTGGAGCATTTAGGAAAACAGCATCTACATCTACACCGACAGCTACATTTACATATACACCTGCATGAAATGATATGCTGCGCTATGCTGCGCTATGCTGCGCTATGCTATGCTATGCTATGCTATGCTATGCTATACGATGCTGCGCTATGCTAAGCTGTGCTATGCTATGCTATGCTGTGCTGTGTTATGCTATGCTGTGCTGTGCTGTGCTATGCTAAGCAATGCTATACAATGCTATGCTATGCTGTGCTGTGCTATGCTATGCTTGTCTATGCTATGCTGAGCTATGCTATGCTATGCTATGCTATGCTATGCTTGGCTATACTATGCTATGCTATGCTGTGCAAATGCTGCGCTGCGTTATGCTGCGCTGCGCTGCGCTAAGCTAAGGTAAGATAAGCGATGCTAAGCTACGCTAAGCTAAGCTAAGCTAAGCTAGGCTAAGGCTAAGCTAAGCTAAGCCAAACTAAGCTAGGCTAAGCTAAGCTAAGATGAGATAAGCTAAGCTAAACTAAGCTAAGCTAAGCTAAGCTAGGCTAGGCTAAACTAAGCTAAACCGAGCTAAGATGAGATACGCTAAGCTAAGCTAAGCTAAGCTAAACTAACGCTAAGCTAAGCTAAGCTTAGCTAAGCTAAGCTGGGTGAACCCAGGGGGCGCAACTGGGGGAACCGAGGGGCGGATACTGGGGGAACCGCCCGGGCCGGTTCCCACTGCCCGGCCCTTTAAGCCAAGAGAGTAAGAACCCTTCTAGGCAGAGCCTAGGTAGGGAAATGTGGCTCTCGCCTAAACGCTGCGTGCATTCGTTTTAAAACTTTGCAGAGGTTTCACGGGTTGGGAGCGGGTGGTTTTCAGAATGTTGCTCTCGCCTCAGCGCCGCGCACATTCGTTTATATAATTTGCAAGAGTTTCACGGATTGGGGGGCGGCGGTTTTCAAAATGTTGCTCTCGCCTCAATGCCGAGCACATTCGTTTGTACAATTTGCAATAGTTTCACGGGTGACGGCGGTTCCTTAATATGTGGCTCTCGCTTTAGCGCCGCGCACATTCGTTGATAATATCTGGAAGAGTTTCACGGATTCCCATGATCAGCGAACCAGAAATAGTGCGTGTTGGAAGGATTCAGGTTTATGCGGGTGTAACAGTTATGTTGATTCGCGGTGTTGAAGTCCGAAAAAACGGCGTTCTGGCACGATTCAGGATCGTCAAGACGCAGCAGTCAGGTTGATCCGTGGCGTTGACATCCCGGGGACAATGTTTTGGCATGCTTCAGGGTCTTCAAACGGTTGTCTTCCAACGAGACAGTTCCCTCAATGGAAATCAAACGTTGTAGGGGCCTGTGAACAGGGACCTTGGAGGGAGGGTTTATTCCAACCTCGTTGATGACTCTTGGGTTAACACTGGTCCTCCTCCTCCTCCTCCTCCTCCTCCTCCTCTTCCTCCTACCCCTCCTTCTTCTGCCGCGGCCCAGGGAGGGCGGGACGGGCAGGGAGGGAGGCTTTCCCGTTTTTCCGCACCGCCTCACGGGCCCTGATTCGCTTGCTCGCCCGTTGGCGTCGCCGAGCTGCCGCGGCCACGAGCTTTCCCCCTTCCCCCCCCTGCCGGTCGGGCAGCCCAGCCGGGCCGCGCGAGCCGGGCCGTGCGCGGAGGGCTGTCCCCAGTCGCGCGCGCGTGCGCCCCCGACTGAGGGGGGGGGGAAAGCAAGTATCTTTTAACCGATCCCCATCCCCGGCCCATCCCCATCCCCATCCCCATCCCCATCCCCATCCCCATCCAGACCCCCACCATCTCATTCCCCCAGTTGGGGATATACCATTCGAAATCTGACAGAAACTGCTTATATCCCCATCTAGGGGGGTAAACCGGCTAGTGGGGCCCAGGCCATGCGAATGGGGATAGGGATCGGTTAAACGATGCTCAGAAAGGGGAGGGGCAGGGCCGAATGGGGGGCCAGCGTCTGCATAGGTTGCTGCGAAAGCGAGCCGCCGTTTCAGTTAACGTTTCTCTGAGTGCAGGAGCCGCGCGTGGATGTGGTGCCAGCCTTCGCGCGTGCATCGGTGCGCATTCTCAAGTCATCTTCCTGTCTGCGGCTCATGGGTAGTTTCTGAGACAGCGCAGCATCATGAATACAGCGCACGGCACTACCACCAGCCTCGGGCTAGGAAAAATAATGGTGACAATATGAGCCGCTAGGTATGACGCCCGGCTCGCGCTGGCCCCCAGAAAGCTCTTGGCGAGGCGTGGTGTGTCACCCAGCTCCGCCCGGGGGTCCCCGGAAGGCTTCGGTGAGGCGCAGCGGCTTTCGATTGCCGATGGGCTGTATGTTTTTGAGGGTTGGGGGGGTCCGTCGTCCGAGGTGCCGGGCGGGTTGATGTTAAGCTAACTTCTTCGCTCTTTAGAGGCATACGCTGTTTCCATGGACTTGCGCGCGTGGCATGCGTGTCCCAGTTTCCATCCTCGAAAACGGAGGGAGAGTTTGTCAAACGTCCGCAACTCTGTAGAATTGCCGTTGGCTCCCAAAATAATTTTGAAATGAACCCGGCGCGACCCCAATTAGGGGAAAGTTTTCTACTTGGCATTGCTTGGCATTGTTTGGCATGGTTTGGCTTTGCTTGGCATTGCCTGGCGTTGCCTGGCATTGCTTGGCATTGCTTGGCATTGCTTGGCATTGCTTGGCATTGCTTGCCATTGCTTGGCATTGTTTGGCATTGCTTGCATTGCCTGGCGTTGCTTGTCATTGCTTGGCACGGGCGCACTAAGAATACGAGGCACCGGGGGCGGGGAACCCGAGGAACCTGGGGAACCCGGGGTTTCCGACGAGCATGGGGAACCCGGAAAGCCTGGGGAACCCGAGGAACCCGAGGAACCTTTGGGAAACGGGGAACGTCACAGTATGAGGCACCGGGGGCGGGGAACCCGGGAAACCCGAGGAGCTTCCAAGCAACGGGCAAAGTTACCTTCCGAGGTACCAAGTTTAACCAAATAAGAACCCCTTAGGCAGGCTTAGACGGGGAAAAGGATGTTCCCCGACGTTGTCGCAAAGCCACTGCTGCAGGCTGCTTATTTTCTATCAGCTCTTGGGGAGGTTGTAGCCCCACTGGATTTTTGAAGGATCCCCGTATGAGCTCTGCAGGTGTTCAACACGATCCCGCGAGAGTCCTGTATTCTCATGTCATGTTCCATGTTGGTCCCGACCATTCCATACCCTCCTCATACAGTTCGTGCTAGGGCCACGCCGTCACGATCAATCCCTACACAGTTCCTATTCGGCCCCATACCGAACTTGTGCCATGCCGATCCAGTTCCTGGCAGGTCCCATACACCATCCTTGTGCCATCCTTGTATAGACGTACGCATTCTGTCTTATTCTCGCTCTCTCTCTCTCTCTCTTTCTTCCTCTCTCTTCTCCCTTTCCCCCCCTCTCTCTCTCTCCCCCTTCCTGCCCCCATTTCTTTCTTTCTTTTATTCTCTCTCTCTCTCTCTCTTTTTTTTTTTTTTTTTCTCTCTCTCTCTCTCTCTCTCTCCAATCCCCCCCTGTCTCTCTCCGCCTCCTGCCTGCCCTCCCCGCCCCCGTCCCTCCACCACGCCCCTGCCACTCCCGCCCCTCCCTTCCCGACGACGACGACGACGACGACGACGACGACGACGACGACGGCGGCGGTGGCGGCGACGACGACGACGACGACGACGACGACGACCACGACGACGACGACGACGACGGCGGCGGCGGCGACGACGACGACGACGACGACGACGACGACGACGGCGACGACGACGACGGCGGCGGCGGCGGCGACGACGACGACGACGACGCGCCCCGCCAGGCGGTCGCCCCGCCAGGCGCGGCCGCCGCGCCCCCCGGGGGGCAGCCGCAGGCGTGGAGCGCGCTCGGCCGCGGCGAGGGGCGCGGCCGCGCAGGGGGCCGCCCGCGCCGCGCGTGCCTGCGGGGGCCCTCCCTGCCAGTGGGCGACGGGCCTGCCGCCGCCGCCACGCCCTCGCGACGGGCCGGCGCTCCGAGCTCGGGCCCTCTTTTTCTTGGTAGCACAAATCTAAGAAGCACATATTTTGGTTTGGGACCCGAGTATATACTTCTGTAGACAGATGTATGATCCCCCCCCCCAGAGATCAGATCTCTCATCCTGAGTCGTATTCATCCTCACCTCCCCTCCTTCTCCGTTTCTCCTCCTCCTCCTTCTTCCTCCTTCTCCGTTCCTTCTCTTTCTCCTTTCCATCCCCTCCTTCTCCAAGCACAATTCCTCCTCCTCCTCGCCCATCCTCCTCCTCCTCCTTCTCCTTTCTTTCCTCCTCTCATTAGCAACACTAAACCAAGAACACACAGCGTTCGGAGCCCTCGGTGCAAGGAAACGCTGTTTTTGTTGGTCTAGGATGTATGGTAACATTTGTTTTTTGCTTTTTATTTGGTTTTGGAAGCTCAAGTGGTCCCCGCGGCCTCCCCCCCAGGACCTCCTTCTCCCCCTTCCTCTTTCTCCCTCCTTTCCTTTCCTTCTCCTTATAGCAAAGCAAGAAGATTACCCCAGTGCGACCCTACCAAGAAGTTGGAACCCCTAGGAAAGCGATATTAGTTGCTATGCTATGCTATGCTATGCTATGCTGCGCTACGCTATGCTATGCTATGATATGCTATGTTATGCTATGCTATGCTCAGCTATGTTATGCCATGATGCGCTGTGCTATGCTATGCTATGCTATGCTAAGCTGCGCTATGCTATGCTATGCTATGCTATGATCTGCTATGCTATGCTATGTTGCGCTATGCTATACTATGCTATGCTATGCTTGGCTATGTTATGCTATGCTATGCTATGCTATGCTAATGCAGCGCTGCACTATGCTAAGCTAAGCTAAGCTAAGCTAAGCTAAGCTAACCCTCTAGGCAGAGCCTAGGTAGGGAATTACACCCATGCTAATATGCTATGCTGCGTTATGCTATGCTACGCGATGCTATGCTATACTGTGCTCTGCTATGCTAAAGCTCAGCGAAGCTAAGATGAAGGTGAGCTACGCTAAGATACACCTGAACTAAGATGAAGCTAAACTAAGCTAAGATGAACTAAGCTAAACTACGATGAGATAAGCAGCGCTAAGCTAAGGGGACGTAACTGGGGGAACCGCGGGGCGGATCCTGGGGGAACCGCCCAGGGCGGGTTCCATTGCCCGCACCTTTAAGCCCAGAGAGTAAGAACCCTTCTAGGCAGAGCCTAGGTAGGGAACAACAACACACAGTGTTTGGCGCCCTCGGTGCAAGGAAACGCTGTGACTGTTTTTTTGTTTCTTGTCTTTCGTTTTTTGGGGGGGTGGAGCTCAGGTGCTCCCCGCGGCCTCCCCCCAGCACCTCCTCCTCCTTCTCTCCCAAACCAAACAACAACAACCACAGCAAAGAAGCAGTGTTTCCTTGCATCCCAGACCAGAAAACACCCGAACAGCAAACATATACAGCGTTTCCTTGCACCGAGGGCGCCAAACACTGTGGATTCTTGGTTCTGTGTTGCTACGAAGAGGAGAAAACGGAAAGGAGGAGGATGCGGATGATGAGGAGGAAGAGGAGGAATTCTGTTTGGAGAGGGAGGAAGGGGAAAGGAGAACGAGAAGGAACAGAGGAGGAGGACGCGAAGGATTAGGAGGATGAGGAGGAGAGAGAGGGAGAGAGAGAGAGCGAGAGAGAGAGGGGGAACGAGAGAGAGAGAGAGAGAGAGAGCCTCCTCCTCCTCGTCCTCCTCATTCTCCTCATCATCATCAGCCTCCTCCCTCCTCCTCCTCATCACCACCACCACCATCATCATCATCATCATCATCATCATCATCATCATCATCATCACCACCATCACCATCACCATCACCATCACCATCACCATCACCATCACCATCACCATCACCATCACCATCACCATCACCAGCACCATCACCATCACCACCGTCATCATCATCATCATCATCATCATCATCATCATCATCATCATCATCATCATCATCATCATCATCATCAGCATCATCATCAGCATCATCACCATCAGCATCATCATCACCATCAGCATCATCAACATCATCATCTTCATCTTCATCTCCATCAACATCATCATCATCAGCATCATTATCATCATCAGCATCATCATCTTGCTCGCACTCATCTTATCGAGCTACTCATCCTCCTCACTCATCTCCTCCCCATCGTCCTCTTCCTCATCATCTACCCCACGGGGGTAGAGAGGGACACACTTGAAGGGGATGAGGAGGATGAGGAGGGTCAGGGGCTGAGGAGGAGGAGAAGGATGAACAGTGAGGGGGGCGACAGGAGGAGGGATGATGATGATGCTGCTGCTGCTGCTGACGATGATGATGATGATGATGATGATGATGATGATGATGATGATGATGATGATGATGATGATGATGATGATGATGATGATGATGATGATGCTGATGATGATGATGATGATGATGATGATGATGATGGATGCTGATGCTGATGCTGATGATGATGATGATGATGATGATGATGATGATGATGATGATGATGACGATGATGACGATGATGATGATGATGATGATGATGAGGAGGAGGAGGAGGAGGAGGACGAGGAGGAGGAGGAGGATGAGGCGGATGAGGAGGAGGATGAGGAGGAGGAGGAGGGAGGAAGAGGAGACAGGAGGTGAGAAGATCGAGAGATGAGGAGGACAGAAGCTAGGAGGAGGAAGCAGGAGGAGGAAGAGGAGCAAGAGGGAAAGGGTAATGATGATGCCCTCCCTAGTCCGTCGTGTGCTCGTCGTCGTCCTCCTCCTTACTCGTCATTCCTCCTCCTCCTGCTGCTGCTGCTGCTCCTCCACCTCCTCCTCCTCCAGCACAGCAGGTCTGCCTTCCACGAGGAGGAGAGAGGAGGAGAACGAGGAGGCTGGGCACTGAACGTACCCAAACAACACAAGGAACACCCAACACATACACAAGGAAACACCAGCAACATACAGCACAATACTTCAAGACTTACCCCATCACTGACGCCCTCACAGAGAAACGTGATGCAGACTGTTTGTTATTGTAATTCCCAACCATCCTGTGGTGTTGGGTCCTCGTTTTGAAGAAAGTGCCCCGCGTTCCTCTCCTCTCCTCTCCGCCTCCTCCTCCCCCCCTCCTCGCCTCCGCCTCTGCTCTTCGCATGTTTCTGTTTCGGCACACCCCTTACACGCTTCGTGGTCCCATAGGGAGCTCACCCGAAGGCCCCAGTGGCAAAGTTCGCATGCAGTTCCACCCCCATTTCGGCACACCCCTCACCTGGTTCGTGGCCCCATCGGGAGCTTCACCGAACGCCCCAGTGGCAAAGTTCGCATGCGGCTCCACCCCCATTTCGGCGCACCCCTCACACGGTTCGTGGCCCCATAGGGAGCTCCACCGAAGGCCCCAGTGGCAAAGTTCGCATGCGGTTCCATTTCCATTTCGGCACACCCCTTACATGTTTCGTGGCCCCATACAAAGTTCGCATGCGGTTCCACCACCAGTTTGGCACAATCCTCAATAGGGAGCTCCACCGAATGCCCCAGTGGCAAAGTTCGCATGCTGTTCAACCCCCACTTTGGCACACCCCTTGCACGCGTAGTGGCCTCACATGGAGCCCAATCGAAGGTCCCAGTGGCAAAGTTCGCATGCGGCTCCCCCTCCATTTTGGCACACCGCTTGCACGTTTCGTGGCCCCATAGGGAGCTCCACCCACCGGGAAGAAACTGGAGGCACAACGGCCGCGCACGGTGCTTTGGACACCGCGGGCCCCCCTCCTCCGTCTCATCTCCCTCGCGGTACTCGCAGCTGCATATGGTTGGGTCCTTAGTCAGGCTATTTGTTTGTTTTTCATTGTTTGTTTTGTTGTTTCAGTCCTGGGTCTCTGGTTTGTTTCTTTGTTGTCTGTGGTTTGTCTTCGAGTGCTTTTGGTTATTCAGTGCCCAGCTGGCCTGAAGGAGGGAGAGGTGGAGGCGGAGGAGGAGGAGGAGGGGGGGGAGGAGGAGGCGGAGTGATGAGTCCGTCCGCCGTTCGCCGTTCTCTGTAGGGGGCCGCAGGAGGATAGAGGACGGCGGGCGGCGGACGGACTCCTCAGTCATCCTCGCTCCTCACTCCTCACTTCTCGGTCCTCACTTCACACTCCTCATCCTTTCCCCACCCCGCCCTCTCCCTTCCTCCCCGCTCCTCACTGAACATTCCTCACTCCTCCTCATCCGCCTCCTCCTCCTCCTCCCCCTCGCCTTCATTCCTCCCTCATGCGCTCTCCTCTCTCCTCACTCCTCCCCTGAGGAGGGATGAGGCAGGTCTTGAATGAGTCACTCCTCCTTCTCCTCCTCCTCCTCCTCCTCCTTCTCCTGCGCTTTCCTCTCTTTCCTTTTTTTTTCCTGTAGGGGCAGGGACTCCTCCTCCTCCTCCTCCTCCTTCTCCTTCTACTCCTTGTCGTCGTCATCATCATCATCATCGTCATTACCATCATCATCGTCATTACCATCAGCATCATCACCATCACCGCTGTCATCATCAGTATCGTCGTCATCATCGTCATCACCTTCGTCATCATCAGCTTCAGCATCATCATCACCATCACGATCATTATCATCACCAGCATCATCATATGCATCACCATCATCATCATCATCATCATCATCATCATCATCATCATCATCATCATCATCATCATCATCATCATCATCATCATCATCATCATCAGCATCAGCATCACCATCATCGTCATCATCATCATCGCCACTAACATCATCATCATCGTCATCATCATCATCATCATCATCATCACCATCATCATCATCATCAGCACAATCATCACCATACTCATCAT